TTAAGTCTTGAACCATTTGCCTGTTTAAAAAGCCATATATGACAATATTGTACAATTAAAATACACAGTACTTGACATCTGTCAGAATTGTAATACCAGCTAGAGTCTGTCACAGAAACGTTTGCAGTTATTTCTATCAGAAAATTATCAACATCATGAGCAGTATTTTATTGTTTAAACTAAAAGTGATGAACGGTGCAGTTACTCAGTCCAGAATCACATGGATTGTAACATGTGAACAACCGTGGGTGTAAAGTGACCGAGTTCTGCTCTTGCGTGTGTTCGAGTACAGTATATGCAGCTAGTGTTAACCCTCCAGTGGTAGAAGTTGGATACTACAATACATTATCCTGAATATTGTATTTATATTTTGCCCTGTGACCATAACCAGAACTTCCAAACAGTTAGAATTTCTTTATTTTATATTAAAAATTAATATAGAAAGTGTGTGTTGCTGGAGTGTGGTGGGGACATGGCACTGAGGAGAAATGTGTAACCTCAGTCAGTACACAGAACTGTGAAAACAAAGTATAATAAAAATGAACACAACCTGAATCTAACTTGATAATAGCGAAATTTCTGTTTTATTTTCCACATGTCTTGCTGACGTAAATACCTTTTAGGTATTTAGTTAATTGGCTGCTGTCTCTCTTGTGGCTCTTCAATTTCAAAACCTGCTGTTTCTACTGCACCGTTCCCTCTCCTGTTATTGTGCATGACAGGGATACGCTCACTCAGAACACTAAGCAAGTTATTTATTTCTGAGCACGTGGGAAAGCTAGGATACAAAAACGGACTGATGGCTCTAAGGTTAAGGATTGAGCAGGACTTGATAAAAGAAAATTTTACAGACATCACTCGCTTTGTCTATTGGTGGTTCACTATCAGACCAGCTTGGCGGATATGCCTGCCAAATTTCAGTAACATCAGTGACTCTGGGTGTTACTCCACTTAATGCTTTAGGCCCAAATCTAAGGGAACACATTGGTGTAAATGCACGCGCTCCCACAAACTGGTCTTTGTGTCAGAGTTACATCCATGAATGAGTGCTTGACAGTTTCGATCAATAGTCTCAGAAGGGGCACAAATGTTCAAACAATAACCAAGAGCGCACAAATTTTCAGGGAACAAAATCTTCTCAAAACTCATTCTTGCTCTGCAGTTATATCAAAGTTCCATGAAATTCTAGACTAATCTGTTTTTGGTGGTATAGTTTGAGGAGTGAAAGTCAGCCAGAACACGAAGAAAACTTGTCTGCTGCTTTTCAAATGCCAGATAGGATCAGATAAAGCCCATTGACTACATCTGTTCCAGTGGGGAAGGCAAAGGTGTGATGGTATTGTCACTGCACTAGTAATGCCAAGACCCAGGTATTGCTCTGGGAATCTGGCTTCAATTCTCACCATGGCATAAAGTCTAATGATGTCCATAAAATTATTGTTGGTTGTCATAAAATTCCATTCAGTTTGCTGTTGTCCTTTAGTAAGAATTGGCTGTTCTATACAACAATGATATGTATTGACCCTTAACTGTCCTCTGAAAAGGCCAGAAAACTACTCATTTGTGTCAAAACGCTAAGTTTCACAATGGAATGAAGTTGGATGGCACCATCTGGTATCAACCTAGGCACTGGAAATAATAATAGCGCAGTCAGCCCAGTCGGCTCTGCAGATTCCTCTTTAATAACATACAGAAGCTCTTGCAAGTGTGAAAATTAGTAGAGCTGTCAGACAGACAAGTCGAGCAACAGCCTGGTGTAGTCATACTCACAGAAACATACTTACACATAATGTCTTAGACAACACCATCCCTGTCCCATTGGCAGAACCCAATAGAGCTGGAGGCACTATAATATATAGCCGACAGAGAGTTGCCTTGGGACACCTCAATATTGGCTATGGGGACCATGAAGTCTTGTGGTCTCAAGTTGGGCAAGGGAACAACCCTCTGATTTCCATGTAAACCGGTGGTGGGGAAATGCTGGAGTCAATTATAAAGGATGTAATAACTGAGTATTTGGAAAGCAATGACAGAATCGATCCTGTCAGCATGGATTCACCAAAGGGAAATCATGGTTGACTAATCTTCTGGAATTTTTTGCGGATGTGACCGGAAGAGTGGACAAGGGTGAATCAGTAGAGATTCCACACAAGAAATCAGTAATGAAAATTAAAGCTCATGGTATCGGAGGTAGTGTATTCTCATGAATAGAGAACTGGTTGGCAGACAGGAAGCAGAGAGTTGGAATAAACAGATCCTTTTCAGACTGGCAGGCAGTGATAAGTGGGGTGCCACAGGGTTCAGTGTTGGGACTCTAGCTGTTAACAATATACATTAACGATTTGGACGAAGGAATTGAATGCAATATCTCCAAATTTGCAGATGACACTAAGCTGGATGGCAGTGTGTGCTGTGAGCAGGATGTTGAGAGGCTGCAGGGTGACTTGGACAGAATGGCTGAGTGGGCAAATCCTTGGCAAATGCAATCTCGTGTGGATAAATGTGAGGTAATCCACTTTCTTTGCAAAAACAGGAAGGCAGATTATTATCTGAAAGTTGGCAGTTTAGGAAAATGTAAGGTGTGACGAGACCTGGGTGTCATGGTGGAACAATCACTGAAGGTTGGCATGCAGGTGCAGCAGGCAGTGAAGAAAGCTAATGGCATGCTGGCCTTCATAACGAGAGGATTTGAGTATTGGAGATAGGATGTCCTGCTGCAGCTTACAGGGCCTTGATGAGGCCACGCCTTGAGTATTGTGTGCAGTTTTGGTCTCCTAGTCTGAGGAAAGAGATTCTTGCTACTGAGGGAGTCCAGCAAAGGTTCACCAGACTGATTCCCAGGATAGTAGAACTGACATATGAGGAAAGATTGGATCAACTGGGCTTGTATTCCCTGGAATTTAGAAGAATGAGGGGGAAATCTCACAGAAACATATAAAATCCTGATGATTCTGGACAGGCTAGATGCAGGAAGAATGTTCCCGATGTTGGGGAATCCAGAACTGGGGGTCACAGTCTAAGATTAAGAGGTAAGCCACTAAGGACTGAGATGAGGAAGAATTTCTTCACTCAGTGTTGTGAATTTATGGATTTTTTTTCCCCCACAGGAGGCCATGCAGTTGGGGGAAACGTTGGCCGTCACGATTCGACCCAACCGTAATCTGCAACTTCGTCCCCTATCATAGTCCCATATCATATCTTATCAGCAAACCAGGGGCCCACACTGGCTCAATGAAGCGTGCAGAAGGGCATGTCAGGGTCAACACCAAGCATTTTGAAATGTGAGATGTCAAGCTGGTGAAGCTACTCAACAGGATTACTTACAAGTACCACTAACCAAAGTACAACAATGACTTCTGGAATGAAGTGTATAATTATAATCATTGTAAACACCTTGTTTCAGAGAAGTACCCATGTGACTTGAGATTGCCAAGGGGGTTGGTGAGAAACTCCAAAAGAAACTATTTATGTATCAGGAGATCACTTGACTCGTGCCATTGAGTATTTCACAGGGCAGGAAAGGATGCTGCTAATTGTCAGGGGAATGATCCATGCCATCAAGAAGCAAGGAAAACCGATCTGTTAAAAAATAAGTAGGATGCTTTTAAGGTTTTATTTTCTGTTCAAAAGAAAGAGAACAGGATCAACAAGGACTTTAAGAATTAAGGAACAAAAGTTGCTGAAGTATGTTTTGCTGATGGTAATTTGATCCAAAATCTCAGGCAGAATGGAAAGATCGTCAAAGGACAGTGCAAGTTTTGACCTGGCATACTGGAGACCTGAGAATAATTTTGTGATAGGTCCTTTAATGTTACTATCTGTTGAATCATGGCATAAAGTTAAAACGTTTTGCGAGATAAGTTTTTTGGTTGCCTTGCCATTGCATAATATACTTTTTTCTTTGGTTTAACTTACTAGTTGCCTGTTAATTAAACTACGTTAATTGTATTTTATTTTGACAAGTGGAAACTTCTCATTCAGACTATTTCCATTAGCCATTTGGGAAATTCATCTCTCTTTGAAAACGATTTGGTCTCCACAGGGATTGGAACATTAATTCTTTTGAGTAAATTTTATTTTACATGATTGGAAAGCAAATTGCTAAAAGAAATTGACTTAACATCATTGCTAGCGATCTGTTAGTATTAAAACCAGCAGGAAATAAATCTAAGTTTGTATGACATTTGGTGTTTGAGATGTCATCAGTTGATAATCTTAGAAAAACATGTAAGGGCATCCTTATTACTACTTAAAATTAAGCAAAATTTTGCACCAGTAACTTTAAAATATGACTATGGAGAGACTGTTAGCCTTTTGATGTTTCAGCTTTCATACACTTGCTGGATGCGAAATTTGGAGCAGTAGCATCCTTTGTTTAAGCACTGTAGGTGCCGTTTGAGGGCCAAAAGGTTAGCTGATGTGCATTCATACAGTTCTACCGCAAATCTTACAGGTTGCCATTTTGGTGAAGGACTAAGAAGAGGCGTCTGCAATCTAAATTTTCATTAGCTATTAGAGCATTTGCAAATGCAGAAAGTAGCATAATATCGACTTCAGATTTTGGTTTACCTTGAAGCAGCCAGTGCACTGTGTAAAAGCAAATAAGTACTCACCATAATCTCCTCCTTCCTGTTTCTAATATCTCTGACCACATTCCACAACCCAAACAGTAGTTCCAAAGTCTGTGATCTTCCCATCTGATCCCCAGTGAACCCTGATCTTGGAATCTGAGGCTCGTCTGTTGTTCCTCAGACTCCTGTGATTCATCCTAATGATGTTTCTACAGATTGGAGCACTAAACTGTGCCGTGCCTCGTGCAGTGCTGTTCAAATTACAATGATGTCCGAAGCCCAAACTCTGCAGCTTCAACAGAGAGTGTGGGCTGTTACTATTGTAACAGTAGGGTTCCCAGAAGTAGACATGCCAAGATTTCCAGGTCTAAGCCTTCCACAGAGCTGTGACATTGACTGAACAATACTCTGAATCTTTTCTCTTTGCAGACTGCCCACCTGGCTATGATTGACACCCTGATGATGGCGTATACTGTGGAAATGATCAGCATCGGAAAAGTGGTCTCGTGTGTCCAGCAGTTCACAAACTTCTTCCCAGCTACAGAGCTACCATATGACATTGAAGATGCCATTGTCTGCTGGATAAATAAGGTAAAGTATCTCCAGTCAGTGCACTGAAATTACTGTGGTTTGAGGAAAGTCTACAAATGTAACGGTAAAGTTGCCATAGTTTTACCAGACCATTAGAGAGAGACACAACTAGTGTTGTTTAACCTGGGGCAAGCGGAGAGGTTGAGCAGGAAAGTTCTTCATGGCAACCTCAGTCAGTGTGGTAATTGAAGCACTCGCTGTTGGTGTCACTCTGTATTACAAAACAACCATCCAGCCAACTGAGCTAACCAACACCACATGACATTTCTTTCTCCAATTTTGCTATTCAACTTTTTCTCCAATTCACCGCTGCTTCAACAGAGGGGAAAACATGCTGATGTATAGATCATAGAATCTCTACAGTGTTGAAGTTGGCCCTTCAGCCCAACAAGTCCGCACCGACTCTGAGATATCTCGCTCAGACTCATTCTCCTATAACCCAGCTAATCTACACATCCCTGAACACTATGGGCAATTTAGCATGGCCAATCCACCTAACCTGCACATCTTTGGACTGTGGGAGGAAACCGGAGCACCCGGAGGAAACCCACACTGACACGGGGAGAATGCGCAAACTCCACACAGACAGTGACCCGAGGGTGGAATTGAACCCAGGTTCCTGGCCTGTGAGGCGGCAGTGCTAACTACTGAACGTATAGTTCCTGTGCTTTTCCAATATACTTCAGACAAGTGACAGTTCTTATGTGTAAACCTGGAGATACGCAATCAGTCGTTTCATCAGTAGGATCTTCAAAGGTGAGCCTGGCTCTGACCCACAACCGATGCACATACCCTCATCGCATTTCCACGCTCTTCTCCCAACTCTCTCACTCGTCACCCATCCTTTCCCTTTCCCTCTGGCTGATGCTTTCTCCTCAATCCAAACCCTTGGTATGTTCCAGTTGTAACTGAGATGTAAATAACTTGAACACAAAAATGCAGAGTATGTTAAATATAATGTACAAATGAACTTCAAGCAACATGCAAACTCTGTTCAAAGGTTCCAGTGCTGTGTTAAAGTTAACAAGCTCATTGAAAGAGCATCACAACCTTAAGCAATTTGTTCAGTTTTCAATGTTTGTTATTGTCATATTGCTGAAAATAACTACATTTTGTCAAAGCTTTTTGTCTTGAACCGATTAAAACCATTTACAAGAATGCCAATGTAAAGGGAAACAATATTTTGATTTTCCACAATAGAACAACATTCACTAACTAATCCTGAGTATGCTAAGAATTATGCTGACAACTAACTTACAATTGTCAGTTGGGCATGGCTGTCTTGTGTAGATAGCTAAATATGTTAATACGTATGGTCTTGTTCTTTACAGACGGAAAGAACATGTACACGTACTGCACCTGTTTGAACTGAGCGATTTGGGCAGCAGCTATTCACCGGTTCATTCCTCAGGGCAATATCTTGACTAAGCAGAGTTTTAAATTTAAACAAAGCAGTTTCCACGGAAACGTTTTTTCCAATTAGATTCCACTTGACAACCAGTCAGCAATTACTTCTATATGAAATATTACAGAATGTTGTTCCCATTATAGTGGTATTCTTGCAAAGTTTCCCAAAGCATAGAAAATGGATGGCTTTGGCAAAATGTGTCCTTTTTATTAAGTTACACTTAAAAATGGCAACCCTGATGATGTGGAAATGATCAGCATTTCCAAATGACAGATCATTATTCTGTGGGCAAGATTAAAGAAAAACATGTTCTTTGTCCTTTTCCAGACTGCCTCCAACACAGTAGCATGCCCAAAAGAATACAATACTTAAATATATATATAAAGATACATTCAGCATTCCAACTCCTTGTTGGACTTGCAATTCAGTACCCTGAGAAACATTGCAAAATGATTTGTTGTTGTTATGCCTGCAATGACAATTTATCATTCATAGAAAATGTACCAATCATTGAGATTTTAATTTGTATTTTAATCAGTTCTCTGTGACTCACCCCTTTAGCCATACAGGTATTATGATGTGAATTATGCTATTATACAATAGCCACATTATTTCATAAATATCCAGAAGGTTCATAATATGTCACTCTGTCTCTTCAATGGCACATTATTTCTTTTTTGAAAAAGGTGTAGCTCAGGACTGTTGCTGATCCGCTGATTCCAGAACACTTTGGGTTACGAAGTATAATCAATAATTCAACCAGTTCACAGCTATCCCCTTTTCACCATCTGAAGAGATTGGAGCCAAAGGATGGTAGCATTTTTTCACTTTGGATATGGTTGACTCCAGGCCAAAAGAAACCTTGCAACAGCACGTCTCTATTTGAAACTAGATTTTAGATGGAAATGGAGTACTAGGTGTATTTCTGGGAACATTTGCTTTAAGTCTGAAGTGTTTCTGCACCAAAATAGCTATTTTAAGAAGTGTCACATAAATATCTGTGCTATCCACTCCTCAAAACATTTCCAAAATGAAAGGATGTTCTGTATTTGAATAACCAGGATTGCAAACCAGTTATGACCTATAATAAAAAAAATTGCACAATAATATTTGAATGATTCAAAGCTGTAACAATAGAAGTATTTTAATTGCTAGCAACAAAGTGCAAGTGATAACTACACTTCCAAAATCTAAGAAAATTAATGATTTTCCTCTCCATCCGTTTTTCTCTCTCTGTCTCTCTCTCTCTCTTCCCCCCCACCCCCCACCACCAGTCTCCCACTTTCTGTCCTTGCAATACTACTTTGGCCCAGAAATTTTGGTGATAAGTTAATGATATAAATCTGTCAAGTCAGATTATGTGATGTATAAAATGCAGTAAGAATTATTAGTTCCATTTCCCTGTATCTGTTGAACTCACTTGCACATAACATTTCACTTCCCATTGTGATATTTTAAGTAGTCATTAAACCAGCGGTCAATAATGTAACTGATCTGGGTTTTAAAATGAACGGAACAAAATTACTTGCATTGAATAACAATCTCAAATCTGTGTTTCATAACTGATTCAGGTAAATGAACATTTGAAGGAGATAGTTGGTCAGGAACAGAAACAAAGGCGACCACAAGGGGCAGAAACATCTGGAAGTCAAAGGGTAGGAACTGAAGTTAAAATTTTGTTGATTATCTTTCTTTTTGTTTTAAGGATAACTGCAACAGCCAAGTGTAAAGAAAGCCGCTATTTTCAACCAAATTATTTCTACTCCACAGAACTGTCAGCTCCTTTACTGGTGAAATTTAAACGTTTACCTTTCATTCTTAAGTCATTATAAAGTAAATGTTAGCAGGCACTATTTAGCTGCATGAAAAGAGCCTGCACATTTTGCGACGTGAAATGCATGTGAGTCTCACATATTAACTATGTTTAATTGTTTGTAGGCAGTGGACATTAACTGGAATCATTGTGAATAAAAGTAATTTCTCTTAAAGTTGTATGGGTGGAATTCTTCCAGCCCTGGTGTGGTGAGATAAGTGCGAAAATACGGAGTGAATGATAAAAATCAGAATCTTGATGTCAAGAAAAGTTCTTGTGATCTTCTCCCAACCTTAAATGGTGAGGTCAACATTTCGGCATTGAGCAGCAACTTCCATATTTCTGTGCGTTTGCATCTCATTGAAGTCCCAACTGCCCCTCTTTATACACCACTTCTAATTCTCCTCTCCTTCCTCAAGAAACCACACTGCACAAATTCTCAAATGCAGTTCAATGTGGGAATCTGCAAAATGCTTGTCCCAGTCGTTATCAAATTGCACATTTAAAAGTGTGCCCCCAGCTCATGTACCACTTCAACTCAACTCGTTAATGCTTTATTTCAAACTCCGGGATAGCTGTGACTTGCATACTTCTTCCAGGTTGCTTTGTGAGGTACGCACAGATGTATCTCATCCATCTGTAAAGGATGCAATTCATGGTTTTTGGTTTACTTTCTGAGCATACATGGTCTTCAGTCTCAGTCACAGGCTGTCTGCCTCTGGCTCGCATTTCTTTTTCGTGCAGTGACAAAGCCATGCAGCTTGTCCTAGTGAGAAACGGTCAAGAGAGTGAACTGTGACTCTCGGTGCAGCACCTTGCTATGTCAGCTGCGGCATGTGCCCAGCAGTATACACTGCAAATACAATGCACGTGCTTCAAGCAAATGGTCATGGGTGAAAGTCAAAAGAGAACCGTCCTTGGTAGGTTGAAGTAGGTTTACTGTCAGTTATGCAGTGCTGCCACATGGATTCAAGGGGCCTGGTCCCACCGTAGTCAAGGTAACTGTGCCCTTGTGGTCCAGGAATTGGGCCATGGTCAGTGCAACCAGTCCAAGAGTTTGAGCAAGGTCACTCAGGGTGCTGAGAGACAACAGTCCAGCGATTGCACCAGAATTTCCTGCTACGGAGCAAAGGGAGCAATTGAGTGTGAGGGATGTCAGTGGAGGATTAGTGAAGCAAGAGTGAGAGTTAGCAAGGTGTTCCCAGTGAGCGAGTAGGAAGTGCAGAGAGCAGAAAGGGTGAGTAGTTTGAAAGGACGAGGTAGATCAGCTGTTGAATGGACTTGTATGCAATAACGAGAGTTATACTCCATGAACCTTGGTGAGAGGTATATCTGTTGGCAGAAGTGGAGTTAAATGGTGGCCCTGTCTATGTGAGATAAGAGGGAAGACGGTAGCACTTAGCCTTGGGGAGCACAGGAGGTTATTCACCACCTTCCTGCATTGTTGGGCAGCCAGTTTCTCCCAGGAGACAGCACTGAGCCAGCTTGGCTTAGTCTAGTGGTGTGACCTCCTGTGATGATTGGATAGAAGAAGGACTGCCATCTTCACCACCAAACCTACCAAGACCATTCAATTCCCTGTTCATGAAGCAGGAAACAAGCTCATCTTTCCTCTGTGCCATATCCTCCATGATAATGGTCGTGTACGAAATTGTGAGGGGCACTTCTTGGATTGAAGCTTCTGAAGTAGTCTAAAGCTGGCCTTTATATGTGGCACCAACGGAGTGACTGGCCAAAGATCCCAACGGTGGTGAGCACTTGCACCTCTCCAACCATACGATCCCTCAAGAAAGACTGCTGAGATCCCAGTTGCATAATTAATTAGGTGAAGAGCAGACGGTCACCTGAGAGAAGTTGCTCCAAGCCATGACAGGTTGGATGCCATGTATCTTACTTTACAAAACACCTAAACCGAGAAAAGGAAAATCCCATCAGTAGATACTCTGCTCACTCTACTTGTCAAAGGTTCAAAATCCTGTGAAAGGTTACAGTTATGGTTGACGAGTAGATTGTGCAAAATCTGTAAAACGTGTTGGAGGATGCTGGCACTTCCTGTTATGCACTTCCCATTGGCTTATAACTTTTTTAACATGGAGTTACATACATCTAATGATATGGTGCCAAAACAGAAATGTTTTCATTCTACCTTTGTGCACCTGATGACCAGATTCATTCTTGGTACAGTGATAGTAAGGACAAAAGGGTTTTTCTGGACAAAATCATGGAGAAAGGATATGGACCAAATTTGATGAACGGGTGGATTTCTGACTTGTAATGAGGAGAAATTTGCCTCTGATGAGTTTTGAGACCTGTGTGAAAACACAGCCATGATTGGTACAACTAAAATTCCTTGAAGCGATGGACTTAATGAAAGCAATTGTGGTGATTGATGAAATACTACATACAATTTTAGCTGATTAACCAGCCTGCAACTTGATAACCACCGTAACATGGTGAGTTTGTCCAAAGAATTCACTCCCAGAGGGTTAGGGGGAATAGTCTTTCTTATATGACGACAGATTAGACAAACTTGGTTTGTTTTCACTTGACCATCAAAGGATGAGGGATGACCTGATTGAAATTTTCAAAATTATCAGAGGCATGGATAGAATGCATAGTCTTTTTCCCAGGGTAGAAATGTCAATTGCCAGGGGATATGGGGATATAGGTTTTAAGGTAAAAGGGGTTAAGTTTAAAGGAGATGTGAGAGGTAGGGTTTTTACAGAGGATGGTAAGTACCTGGTTGCAAGAGGAGGTGGTGGAAGTGGATACAAAGCAACATTTAAGAGGGGTCTTAACAGATAAATGAATAATTAGAGAATATAGGGATATGACAGCATGGAGAGTTTAGAAAGGCATCTTGTATCATCTCCGTCTTGATGGGTCAAAGGCTCTGTTTCTATGCTGTACTGTTCTTCGTTCGTTGTTCAATTCGTCTATTTCATGTATGCAAGTGTGGAATAATCCAGTGTAGCCACTACGTTGAGTGCTGAAGGAAACTTACCTGTTCACCTTTGGAAGCAAAATATGTTTTCAGTCCTTCACAGATTTTAAAATTCAGTCGATGGATTGAATTTCTAAAAGTACAATTATTCCTTGGTCATATGCTGATGAACGTTGTGATAACTCGTTAAATCTTACCAAAAGCAATGATTAATTGTATCAGTCAAGAAGCCATGAGTTGTCATTTTAAGTACTACTTGTACTGTTTTGCCTGATATCGCACATACTGATAGAATAGATCGGTCATCTATGATGTTGGCACAGGATTGTATCCTGTACTTTCTGCTTACTCCATGCATTTTCTGTAGATATCTTTCCAAAATGTGAACAATTTAAAATTAAATAATGCACAACAGTTTGTGGTTAATTTGCTCCAGTTGTTATTCTGTCAAATTGAATTTGCCGCAATGCTCTTTCCGGTTGGTAGATGCCGGGAATCTAATTAAGCAGCTTGGTATGGCTGGTTTTATAGAAGGTACAGTAGTATAACTTGCTCCACAAATTAACAAAGATTGTGTTTGAATGGAAAAGCAAAGCTGGTAGCTTTAAAGTATCTGTGACTTAAAGTGGAATCTTGGATTTCTTGCATGTCTTGCAATTTTTTAGACAAGACCTGAATCCTGTGAAGGTATTGAAGAAAGAAGTCAGCCATTTCCTGGTAATTTCTCTGCCTGTAATAATTGGATATCTTCACAACTAAGGCTAATGCTGGAAATATTTTTCATTCGTTAAGATTCACCAGTAAATTTCCTAACAACTGGGATCTACAAGTAGTTGTCTAATCTATCAAATTCTCCCAGCTATCAAACAGTATGCTTTTTAAATGTTTTTGTGAAGTGGTGACAGGTCATGTGAAACAGAATTGTTGTTAATCACACTCCCCATGGTCATTTCTTAATTCACAATGTTTTTGCATTGCTGAAATCTGTCTTATCTCCTCTCATGTATTTCTTTCCTTAACCACAAGAAAGAGTTGGCTGCTGAAATTTGGCTACAGTCACAGTTACTCTGTTATTCATGAACAGGGCAAGATAGATTTTCTTTTTATTTACTCACAGGATAAGGGCATCACTGGATAGGCAGCATTTATTGCTCATCCCTAATTGCCCAGAGAGCTGTTAAGAGACAACCACGTTGCTGTGATACATGCGTAATGCAATACAAGCATAATGAACATTTAGAGAAAATAGTGTAACTACAGAGAAAAACTGAAGATTCTATTGTCTCAATATGTCGAATAGTCACATCTAATCTGTATTTGAATATTTCACTGCTTCTTAAGGAACAGTAAGAAATGTTTTTCATATTCTTCAAGAATCCACACTCTTTTATTTAACAGCCTGAACTTCTGATTGAATTTATTAATGGGAATATTACCATTCTAGGAGCAGTCCACTGATACATCGTTTCCCTTTTCTGTATGGGAGGGGTGTATCAGTTGTCCCCATGTTATTTTTAAAGCATTTGAACAATAGTTGTAAGATTATATTGTCAAAAAATGTTGCTGATAAAATGTTGTTCAATGTATACAGTAGGTTTTAAGGTAATTGCTGATTTTGTAAAGAAAATTTAAATTAAGTGCATATTTACAATATGATCAAGCAATGCTCGAACTGTTGATTCATGTCCTTATGACCTGTTACTTTAGACTAACAGCCAATGCCTGAATAGCTGGTCTTCAATGGCTGCCTTTTGTTACAATGCCCACAGAGACAAATAATTTTCTTTAGAAAAAGACATTTGAACTTCTGACTGACAAAAAGAATGACACAAGATTTTAAAGACTTTTATTCAAACAAACAAACTGAAGTCATCATCAACGAAACATTTCTTTATAAGCAACTAATACATTGGACTTAATTTCTCCATAATGTCCCAGCATGACTGAAAACCCAATGCTGTATTTGTGTGTTACATAACAGTCTCTGCAGAATTTTAGTCTCAACAGGAACAAGTCCAAAGTTATTCCCAGCATTACGTGGACTTGCTTCACTATGTATTGCTGAGTCATGACATCCAGTGTCTGTGAAAGCTATTACCTTCAATCTTCACAGAAACCCAGAACGGACTCTCTGCAGCAAGGCCCGCATCATTTCCCCGCATTTCTAGGGCAAATCTTCCTGCGACCTTAAATGTCTAAGGTTTCACTTTTTCGACCAGAGTATATACTCCTATCCACATTCTGCCTGTCTGCAATAAGTTGCGCTTCTCTATCTGTCTACTCAACGTCTCTGTGTTTAAAAAAAACCACAAAAAACAGGCTAACTTCTTTTGCTTTTTTTAACTACATCTGGCACTTAGGTTATACTAGGAGTTGACCTGTACCCTGCGGTAACCTATTAGCTTACTGCCAGACAGCATTAGTAGGAGGTTGCATCTCCATTTTACCTTGAATTCAAAGAGACAGTTTAAAGCATAACTCCTTAAAACCTTGAAGGTGGGGCACTTTGTTGACCTGTATTTCAAGCCTGTCACACATACAGTGCTAATAACACTCCAATGTTCTCGGAACGTTGCTTGTAAAATGTTTGTGTTGAGTGCAGTTCTATTTGGGCATAAGCTGGGTAGGATTCTCCATGATTAATAAACTGCTTACAACCCTCATTTCAAGGTCATGCCTTCCTGAGTTGGCAATGAAATCTGGAGAAAACACACATTCTTCTCCTTTTCTTTAAAAGTGAAGTTCCATGCCTAGACATGTTCACAGCCTTCAAAACTGTAGTTTTTGCAGAACAAAACTTTTATGAGTCAATTTGTGCAGCAGTGTAGTCGGAAATGATATTATCATGTGCAAAATTATCAGCCTTTTACAGAGCAGCCCCAAATCATGCCTTTTTACGTATGTCATGCAGCAGTTTAAAAGAATTGCTTTTAGAAAGGACCAAATTTGGAACATAATGGGCAAGGATTTCAAAATAGTTTATTTGCTTGTCTTATATGTTGTGGTCAAATAATATTTTAGGAGCTGAGCCGTCAAAGGAGGTCTCTTAGTTGGTGAAAAAGAAATGTTAGTGTAGTTTAGTTTTTTTTAAATCTGAAGAGTCATTTTTGTAACTAAGCATTATTTGTGTTTCTCATTTTCAATATTATTCAAGGCAGGGTTTTTGAAACAGCCATGATCCAGGAAGGAAATTTTAAATTTTATTTTTAAAAGTCCTCAGATACATCTCAAAGCTAGTTTACAATTTTTAAACTGTGTCACCATTTCTGGCTGCATAGCTCTACTCCAATCATATTGCATTGAGAAACAGTAATGCTGATCTTATTTTTGAGATTGGTGTACTCATAATGGAAAACACCAAAATAGTCCGGTTTGCAGTGGCAATGATGGTGCAACTGTTAAGACTTCACCGTCATTACTCCACTGATATTGACAGCAATTTCTGCAGTCTGCATATTCACTAGGGTACACAGAAGGCCAGAAGTAGCTGTCATCAATTCTGTGCTTCTCTAGAATTTGTACCACTGAGGCAACTCCAGATTCCCATCAGTGGGAAATGTTATGAATTGTTGACAACTTCTGCTTTGACCACTGTTGTCTAACTGTACAATACCTTTGTAAAAGTTACTTTTTGGGGAATGAAGTGCAGTTGGGTTTTTAATGGTGTACCATAAAAATAACGCCCTTAAGGTTTTAGACTAGATTTGTATCTCAGGTTGTGGATGTTGTGGTTGGTTGGCTCGCCGAGCTGGTTCGTTGTACTGCAGACGTTTCATTACCCTGCTGGGTAACATCGTCAGTGCAACCTCCGATGAAGCGCTGTTGTGTTTTCCCGCCTGTTATTTAAACTCTGGTGTCTGTTGAGCTGGGTTACCTCACTTTCGGTTTTCCTTTGCAGTGGAGTGTACATGCGGTCTAGCTCTATGTGTTTATTGATGGCTTTCTTAGTGGAGTACCAGGTCATATACAAGATTCCCTGCAGAGACTGCGACAAATATTACATTGTACAGGCAGGAAGGAAATTAACCACAAGTACACGAACATCAACTGGCAACAAAAAGACACAACCAATACTCACTCATCTCCATCCACTTGGTTAAGGAAAACCACCAATTCAATTGGGACAACAGCAGGATCCGAGGACAGGTGAAGCAGACAAGCACGGGAATTCCTAGAGGCCTGGTTCTCCACTAAGAGAGCCATCAATAAACACAGAGCTAGACTCCATGTACACTCCATTGCGAAGGAAAACCGGAAGTGAGGTAATCCAGCTCAATGGACACCAGAGTTTAAATAACAGGCGGGAAAACACAACAACACTTCATCGGAGGCTGCACTGGTGATGTTACCCAGCAGCGTAATAAAACGTCTGCGGAACAACGAACCAGCTCGGCGAGCCAGCCAACCCCACAAATAATGCCCTTGTTGAAAGAGGTGCACTAAGTTTCTAAAAAGTGCACCAACTTTGTAAATACTGCACAATTCCTTTTAAAATAGCCTTTAAATTTACTTATACTTCACTTGTGTTGTCTTAATCCAATCCTAATTCATTATTTTGCTGTGTGAAAATTTAGTTGGAAATGGTGGATATTAAATGCTTTTAACTTGCTTGTTTGCATTGTGAGTGTGCAATGTTTTTGGCTACTTACCATGATTGTTGGCATCACTGCTGCTGCATGGCAAGACATCACTTTGACTTGGCACTAGGATTAAACGTCCATCAGAGAAATGTAAGTCCATGCCACAGAGTTTATTAGATCTTCAGTGGCAGCTTTTTTTGGAAGGTCAGTGCTAGTATGCCTGCTGCTGACCACAAAATTCAGCTCCATGTTTCCCATATTCCTAAGACATTTTATGTCTTTTTCTTAAAATGAGATGTTGAAAATTAAAAGACAGTAAAGGATTTTGAAGTATTGCATGTGATCTTGACAAAATTGTGACTTTTCTTTTTTTATCTCATCGCTTCAACCCTTTCTCTCTCCTTGGTGCTGCTTCCTCTGAAGTCTCCTACCAAATGGTATTGGAAACTGGTTCCTGTAAGTTAATTCAATGACTAGTGACCCGTTGTATTTGTGGACAATTTGTTATTTTCAATGTGCTAACCTGTGCCGATTAACATGGTTTTGTTTTACTCTGCTGTGATGTCATTCCATTTTCTGGTATTAACACTCATACATCTGCTGTCTATTTATTTATAAATGAGCCTCGTTTATTTTTTCCCGTTCATGTCTGCATGCATCCCTTAGCATCAAATGTTTTCTTTTTAAGGAATTGCCTCAGTTTTTCCAAGAGACATAAAGAAATTTTCAAGCTGAAAGTTAATATTGAGTGTATGTTATATGTGCAATGAACTAGACAGTAATGCAAGATCATTCATAGTAGAAATGCAACGTGGGTGATAAACCATAACTGTTATAATTTTCAATAAGTCACACAATGATTTGAAATTCTGAGGTATAATAATTTTGCTTCTAAAAAAATGCACTGCACGTGCTTAGATTACCACAACTTCCCCTCCACAGTGGTCGAAAATGCCCTCGACCGTGTCTCTCACATTTCCTGCAACTCATCCCTCACACCCCCTACCCGCAATAACAACCAAAACAGAATCCCCCTCGTCCTCACGTACCACCCCACCAACCTCCGAATCCAACGCATCATCCTCCGACACTTCCGCCATCTGCAATCTGACCCCACTACCAAAGACATTTTTCCCTCCCCACCCTTATCTGCTTTCCGGAGGGACCACTCTCTCCATGACTCCCTTGCCAGCTCCACACTCCCCTCCAGCCCCACCACCCCCGGCACTTTTCCCTGCAACCGGAGCAAGTGCTACACCTCCCCCCTCAACCCCATCCCAGGCCTTAAGAAGACCTTCCACATCAAACAGATGTTCACCTGCACATCTGCTAATAGAACATAGAACATTACAGCGCAGTACAGGCCCTTCGGCCCTTGATGTTGCGCCGACCTGTGAAACCAATCTGAAGCCCATCTAACCTAAACTATTCTATTATCATCCATATGTTTATCCAATGACCATTTAAATGCCCTTAAAGTTGGTAAGTCTACTACTTTTGCAGGCAGGGCATTCCACGCCCTTACTACTCTCTGAGTAAAGAACCTACCTCTGACATCTGTCCTATATCTATCACCCCTCAATTTAAAGCTATGTCCCCTTGTGCTAGCCATCACCATCCGAGGAAAAAGGCTCCCACTGTCCACCCTATCTAATCCTCTGATCATCTTGTATATCTCTATTAAGTCACCTCTTAACCACCTTCTCTCTAACGAAAACAGCCTCAAGTCCCTCAGCCTTTCCTCATAAGACCTTCCCTCCATACCAGACAACATCCTGGTAAATCTCCTCTGCACCCTTTCCAATGCTTCCACGTCCTTCCTATAATGCAGTGACCAGAACTGTACGCAATACTTCAAGTACGGCCGCACCAGAGTTTTGTACAGCTGCAACATGACCTCATGGCTCCGAAACTCAATCCCTCTACCAATAAAACCTAACATACCGTACACCTTCTTAACAACGCTATCAACCTGGGTGGCAACTTTCAGTGATCTATGCACATGGACACCGAGATCTCTCTGCTCATCCACACTACCAAGAATCTCACCATTAGCCCAGTACTCTGTATTCCTGTTACTCCTTCCAAAGTGAATCACTTCATACTTTTCCGCATTAAACTCCATTTGCCACCTCTCAGCCCAGCTCTGCAGCTTATCTATGTCCCTCTATAACCTGCAACATCCTTCCGCACTATCCGCAACTCCACCGACTTTGGTGTCATCCGCAAATTTACTAACCCATCCTCCTACGCCCTCATCCAGGTCATTTATAAAAATGACAAACAGCAGTGGCCCCAAAACAGATCCTTGCGGTACACCACTAGTAACTGAACTCCAGGATGAACATTTCCCATCAACCACCACCCTCTGTCTTCTTACAGTTAGCCAATTTCTGATCCAAACCGCTAAATCACCCTCAATCCCATGCCTCCGTATTTTCTGCAATAGCCTACCATGGGGAACCTTATCAAATGCTTTACTGAAATCCATATACACCACATCAACCGCTTTACCCTCATCCACCTGTTTGGTCACCTTCTCAAAGAACTCAATAAGGTTTGTGAGGCACGACCTACCCTTCACAAAACCGTGTTGACTATCCCTAATCAAATTATTCCTTTCTAGATGATTATAAATCCTATCTCTTATAATCCTTTCCAACACTTTACCCACAACCGAAGTAAGGCTCACTGGTCTATAATTACCAGGGTTGTCTCTACTCCCCTTCTTGAACAAGGGGACAACATTTGCTAGTCTCCAGTCTTCTGGCACTATTCCTGAAGACAATGACGACATAAAGATCAAAGCCAAAGGCTCTGCAATCTCCTCTCTAGCTTCCCAGAGAATCCTAGGATAAATCCCATCCGGCCCAGGGGACTTATCTATTTTCACACCTTCCAGAATTGCTAACACCTCCTCCTTATGAACCTCAATCCCGTCTAGTCTAATAGACTGTATCTCAGTATTCTCCTCGACAA